ATCAAGTAGCACAAGAGAGCCAGCGGGTCAACGACTTGTTACCATGACGAAGGAGAAATTGAGCAAAATGATCGTTAATGCTGTGGCGGCCAAGAATTCTCAATAGCAACAACTGTCTAATGCGATTACCTTACGATGACAACGACGAGGGAAGAAAGAAGAAGTCGAGCACCCATGGTGGAGAGGAAGATCGTAGCCAGATGGTGGAAAGGATAGTAGAGCAACTGAAAGAGTTACAAGCTAAAGTGGATGGAAAAAATCGTGGGAAAGCTCAATGACACCCATTCGCGCAGAGGATTCTCGATGGTGACCTGCAAAGCTGAGCATCACTTATGACGGGTCCAATGACCCAACTCTACATTTAAGGTCCTTTGAAAACATGGCAGTGTTAAACAGGTATTCTGATGTTGTAAGTTGTCGAGCTTTTCTGGCGACCTTAAAGGGAGGACGCAAGACTGGTTCCATCAGCTCGCCCCTGGGTCGATCGAAGATTTCAAGGAGTTCAGGAGCATATGCCTCAACCAATTTGCCATCGTTGTTGGTGTATATACTGAAAGTTTGGCTTTAGATTTATTTACACTGAACCCGTTTGAATGAGAATCATGTTTAATTAAACAAGTCTATGTTTTGTTGTTTTGGACTTAGATAAAATGGTTCATTATCGGGTGAACAGAAGATCATTTTATCAGTGACTTGCGAAACAAGAATAGTAGGTTCGCAACCTAGATGGAAATAAACAACCCATCGTGAACGGTTGTAGTGTTAACCATACAGTTGGTCTTGACTGATTAGTAACGCTAGTACACTTTGTATATTGAACGAATTCTAGAGAGGAGAAGTTCGTTTTATACTGATCTTCGTAAACGAATTAGGTCTCGGTTAACTACTGCGTACTCTTAATCCGTAAGATATAAACAGGCATGTGCATGCAGTAGATATCACTTTGATTCACTTGAGTGAGATTTAGTTTACTGAGTCAATATACTTACTGTTTTGGATAATATTATTGTATGTACGATGTGCTGTTATAATATTTATAGTTACTGTGTGCGTTAGTTTGATGATGTCCCCGAGATAAGCTCATGAAGGATTATTATGTTAAATCTGGCCAGTGGAATTTATCCCGACATAATAATAAAGATATGAGTGGTACTAGTCTCGGTTGAAGAAGTCAATTAATTCTTGATTATCAGTAATCAATTAATTGATCAGCTTAAGTCGAGGACTTTTAATGATTCCTATACCTATGGGTGGAGTAAGGAATGATACTCTTTATAGGAGAATCATCTTTGTAAGCGAGAAGTAAATGGGCCGCTTCAATAGAATATTTACTAAACTGAGATATGGT